ATCCCGAGGCCAGCGCAACACCTCCTGCGCCAGACCGCTTCTCCGCGGCGCCTTGCCCATACCGAACGGCGCTCAGGAAAGCAAATACGGACATCCCAAATGCCCCGGCCGAAGATGACACCTACCTGCGAGCCCTGAGACAACTCTCAGCCACCCACCGCCCTTCGCTCGACAACCTTCTCCCCGACCGATTGACTACGACCGATCCAGCCTCTCCGCCACTACCGCCCGACAAGACCACGCAAGAACCAAGCCCTTCGCCAGCTCCCAGCCCTCGAATTGCCCCGGCAACCACCACCGACATGCAAGTCGCTCCCATAGCAGGTCAGAGGTACCACGCCCTGCCCAACGGCAACGCCTACGTCGAGCCCGTATACGGATCATCGTCATCGCCCGCCCACCACCTTCTCCACCACCTCCTCCACCACCACCGCATGCATGGAACCCTTGACCATAACACAGCCGCAAACAAGGTTTGGCCTGCCGCTGAGGGCGTGGCGTCCTTCCGCCATGCGGCGTCTGACGACAAAAATAACGATACCACCACCACGGATCATGCCCGCCGGACGTCGTCGGCGTCGTCGTCGTCGAGGTATGCGGCCCTGAAGCACATGCCGCCGACGACAACGACGACGTTTCAGTACGCAGAGGAATATGCTACAACCTCCGGCAGCTGTGGTGCGGGTCCCGGCGACGAGGCGCGGGAGGATCGTTGGAGGTATGTTGAATTCGTGCGCTCACTTGTTTTCTCTTGCCCCTATAATCACGACGAGAGATGTCTCGGGAGTCAGGGGGGGAGGAGTCGCTTTGCCTTAAAAAAAGAACTCCCGAGTCACGCTCGACAGGCAAGGAAATGGCTGGCTGATGTTATTTGGCCTGCAGGCACGGGTCAAAGGCTGGGGGTGCAACCGCATGAAAGTTTGGTGGTTACCTTACAGGGGAGGGGGTTATTGGGAGTGGGTTATGGCAGCACGAGAAGCTTCCAGGTTGTGAGCGAAATAGGGGCCACGCGAGGTGTGTCAGTTTACAGCTGTTTTGAGTCGGGGGTTTTGGTTGACGTTATCTTCTCACCTGTGATTTTGTGAGAGGGGTTGATGACAATCTAGATTCTTGGAAGGGGGCTCACAGTCCTAGATTGGTACGTCTCGAAGAAGGCATGGTTTCGGGGAATACATACACGGATGATATGGGAACCATTTCGACCCTAACCATCGCAGGTGTGTTCCTGAATGGAGGTTGGTATCGTGCAGGAGTCCAGATGATGACTTGAGACGAGGAGAGGCGCCCCCACCTGTGCCTTCGCCCTTGCATGTACATGTATGGATGAGTGATCCTTTGGGATGAGGGGAAGCGGGGTTCGAGCCTCACTGTCAGCAGCGGACGAATTTCGTATCCGCTTCGTCCATATACCTCTGATAGGACCTATCCGGCGTTGAGCCTTGGGTATTATCGAAAAGACCGGAAATGCTGCTTGACCTTTCAAGGTCCGTCTGAGACAGACTACCGCCAACAACCGACTACTGCCCGCTCTGCCGGACAAATAACAACTCCTCTCAAACGAGATCTACAACCTGTTCTCACTTCAACCTAACTGAATTATCCTTACGAAGAGACATCCAAACCACAGCCGCAATGTCGTCCCAACAACCCTCCTCCTCCCCATCAGCCGACCTCCTCACCCTCTGCCAAACAGACGCCTTCACCCCGCTGCCCCCGGCAACCCTGCACGCCCTCTTCTCCAGCCCGCCCTTCGTCCCCGTCCCGGACACGTTCAACACGCGCGATCTGGGCCTCCTGCCGGGGTCGCCCGTCCGGCCGGGCCTGGTCTACCGCTCGGGGGGTTTCTTCCAGGGCCTGTCGCCTCAGGGCGCGGCGGCGATCCGGGACGGGCTGGGCGTCAAGAAGGTGGTTGACCTGCGCTCGGTGCGGGAGCACGCGCGGCAGCCGGACCCGGCGATCGACGGGGTCGAGGGCGTGTGGGTCGAGCCTGCGGAGGAGGACGCCGTGGTGGCGCTGGGGGAGTTCGTTGAGGGCGAGGGGGAGAAGGGGTACGTGGCTATGTATCTGGATGTTTTGAGGGTGTATCGCGGGGGGATTAGGGCGGTGCTGGAGCATGTGAGGGATGGTGGGGAGGGGGCGGGGTTGTTATTTCATTGTACTGGTGAGTGCTGTCTCATGGCTGTGTCATGGCAAAAAAAAAAAAAAAAAAAAAAGGGAAAAAGGAGGAAAAGGCTGACTTTTGCTACCTAGCTGGGCGCGACCGAACTGGGGTCATGGCGGGGCTGCTGCTGAGCCTGGCGGGGGCCAGCAAGGAGACCATGGTGCTCGACTTCATGCTGTCGCGGCCTGGGATCGAGCCGGTCAAGGAACAGCTTCTGGCCTTTGCGCTGCACGGGTCCATGGCTGCCAGCCCCGACGCGCCGGGGTTCCACAACCTGGTCAATCTGAGGATCAGCAGCTGGAAGGCCTTTGTCGAGGCTGTCGAGGCCGAGTACGGCGGCTTCGAAAAGTATGTCACCGGCACCCTGGGCTTTTCGGAAGGGGATGTGGCAACCATCCGGCGCAATCTCGTGAAGCAGCCTGAGTGACACAAATAGCAACCCGATAGAACAATCTTGGCCAATGATGAAAGATGGTTGCAATGTCTCAGGTTCACGTGGAGGCAGATCCGGGGAGCAGCATGAGATCTCGCTGTGACGTCATACCTCATGTGGGGCATTGTGACGACACTAACAGCCCTACGGCCCCAGAGTCTCAGCGTCGTCATTTCCTGTACACTTCAGGGTCTTGAAGTTCACGGGTAAAGCAGGTTTTCAGGTACAGCTGGTTCTGGCCGCATTTTGTCTATTCTTGAGAGGTAGGTTCTTGGATGTCTGGATGCCGTCACGGCCTCAACCAACCGGGCCTCCAACACCAAGTGATGTCACAGCTAGGTAGAGACGGGAACTGCAATGGAAGCTCGGTGTATATAAGTTTCAGTAGCACGCCTCTATATCGAACATGAAAGTCAAGTATCCAAAAAAACTCAGCTACTACCCAAGCAATCTCACCAAAACAACTCAAGTTGAACCCTATTTCACCACCAACTTATACCCAAAACCACCCCTCAATCAGCCAAGATGCTCAGGTCCTCGCGCCACCCCGTCACCACCACCAGCCGCCCTCCCCGCAGCCTCCGCGGTATCTTTGGCCCCCGCCGTCGTTCCGCGCCTCGGACCACCGTCACGACAACACGTCCTCAGCGTCGCGGCGGTCTCTTCGGCACACGCCGCCATCACCACACCACTGGTCATCACCACACCACCGCCGCACCAATGACGGCCAATTATCACCACCAGAAGCGTCGCACCTCCTTCGGCGACAAGCTCAGCGGTGCGCTGCTCAGGCTGAAGGGCTCCATTACTGGACGGCCCGCCGTCAAGGTGCGTTCTCTCGAGATTTGAGATGATTGGTTATGATCAAAACTGGTACTGAACCAATGTGTTTGGAACAGGCTGCTGGGACCAGACGGATGCACGGGACTGACGGCCGCGGAGCCCGGCGGAGGCGGTTTCTCTAAGTCCTTGTGAGGGAATGAGATATCGCACCTATGGCGGCTGTCATCACAACCTGGAAGTCAGTCAAGCAGCTCGAGACTGGTGGTATGAATGAGGATGTTGGATGCTACCTTTTCCTTTGTAGCTGTATCATAGAGGAAGCGGCGGGGGACTTGATTCCTTTTCCTTACATGTACAACACAGGCGGATGCGAGATACCCTAGACAACTACCTACCTTACATTAATCAAGAGAATACCTCTACAGTACACCTTTTCATATTGTTGACGAGTCGCAAGCAGAGTGAGGAAGTCGCTTGAACAAGGCCTTTTCTAGCTCCGTTTCGAGCGCCAAGTAGTATCTGAAATCTAGGACCGCAGATGACAAAGGTGTAGTGAGATGAAAAGGGTAACGGAAAAGGAAAACATGTCCATTCTCGATACCATCATGCCTCGTCACCTCAAAACTTGTATGTGTACACCGTCGTATTCGCCAACGTCCCTTTCATCTCAAGCCCTGGGTATCATCTAAAGTAAGTCTAACTCCCGTCATTTTCTCTTGTGACAAACATGAAATTAATAGAGTAAACTGTCGTCCCAACCAAGGCGACACTAGGTGTCGAGATGTTGGACAGAGCGCCAATCTCGTCGAAGAGACCGTTCGTGCGAGCCTGGTCCATTCCCTTGTAGAGAACCGTGTAGCCGGGAGCATTCTCTCCTCAACGTCCTCGCTCTCATCACCATCCTCGCTGTCGTTGGAATCCTCGTCGCCTTCATTGGCCTCATGCGGCCTGGACTTCCGCTAGCGGTGCTCCTGGATCCGGAGCTTCTCACGGCGGCGGACTTGGACAGCGACGCCCTCCTGGGGCAGCCGCGCCGCCAAATACAATCATCCCTTACAAAAGCCCTGAAATGGAAAAGAGTTCCAACCCCTGGCGACCTGATGACCCTCGCGCTTCGACGCCAGAGCGGTGAAGTTGCTCCAGGCTTCCAGGCGCATGAATTTGAAGCTCGACCATGCGTAAGGTACCTATTTCTTGTTGAATTCGTGGGCATTCCGGTAACGCGCCCGTTGATAATGTTTTCGGCACACCCACATCCAATTCGTGGGTGTTCCTGTATGGAGCACGTTGGTAGTGCTTCCTGCAGACCCACATCCAGACGTGGTCTGGGATGCTGCGGGTGTAGTTCTGTTGCGAGACCGTACATCACCCTGACAAAAGCCACCCAGATACCGATGTCGTCTCTGGTCGCCAAAAGGAGAGACGCACCGCGTCGATGGGTATCGTACAAGTGAAGGAAAGGAAAACAACAACAAAACGAACAAAGAAAAAAAAGAAAAGAGAAAAAAGAAAAGGAGAAGAGAAAATAAGGAAAGCAAACAAAGGAAATAAGCAGCAAACAAAAGAACAGGCAACCTTTCCCACGCCATCTTCCCACCCCCTTCTTCCATCCCAACACACCTAGTTGGACCTTAGAAAAAACCCGGCGGCGGCTGCCGCACCCCATCCTTTCCCTCCTCCTCATCCCCCTCCTCCTCTGCTCCGCCAACCAACCCGCCCCCAACCCCGCCAAACGGCCCAGACATCCCCTCCCCAAACGGCAGCAACCCACTACCACCACCACCACCACCACCACCACCACAACCAACCACCCCAGGAAACCGCACTATAAACTCCCTCTCAAGCCTCTCAAGGTCCTCCCTCGGCAGAGCAGGGTGCCGCTTACGCCGCGGGCCGGCATCCGGGACTTGTTGTTGTTGTTGATGGTGTGGCGGGGGCGGCGGAACACGACTCGGCCCTGACACCACCACACCTGGGATAGCACCCGTCGAGTCTGAGCTGACCGTCCCAAGTATGTGTCGGGCACCGTCGTGTGACGAGCCGGAATGTCGCGGGCCCAGCGGGTGGTGGTGAGGGGTGTCGAAGGGGGGAAAGTTGGGGGACGGTTGGTGTTTGTGGATGGGGGAGGGGGGCGGGAAGAAAGATGGGGACGGGGTTGTGGTCGTGTTGGCGGTGGTGGTGATGGGGCTGTCGCGCCCCGGCGGAGGAGGACAGCCGAAAGTGAAGGACGAAGAAGCGGGCACAGGCCCGGGCCTCGGCGGGGTCGAGGATCCCTCAGGCTCCCCCGGCAGGCACGAGTCCAGCGCGCTGGTCAGCACGCGCTCCGACGCGAACGGGTTGTGTGCTGCTGCCGCGAGGGATTCGTCCGAGCAGCTTGCGTCCCGCGCCTCGGTGGGCAACCCGGAGGGAAGCTTGGGCCCGTCCCCGAGAACCCTCAGTGCCTTTTCCCGCTTCAGCACGTTGCCCGCCTCGTTCAGACGGAGCTGGTCTTCAGGCACCAGCTCCGCCTGTTCCGACGCCTCCGAGAGTGGCAGCAGGGGTGTCGTCGTGCTGCCGGTGATGATGTGCCGGATGGTGAGTGGTGGCTGGGGGCCACCTGCTGCCGCATCCTTGGGCTTGTTCCTGGAGGGGAAGAGACGGTGGGCCGGGAAGTTGGACATCGATATCTTCCGCAAGAGGCGGCGGCCTAGGCTGGGACGCTCGGTGGTTGTTGGCTCGGTCTCCTGTGCTGGTGCGTCGGTCTCCTCCGGTCCTAATGCGGCATTGGCTGCCAGCATTCTTCCGACCGCATCCTTGACTTCGTCTGTATACAGGGTGGGAGGCCTTGCAGGAGTGGGATGAGTGCTTGGAAGGTTCGGATAAGTGCTTGAAGCCGTGGAATGAAAGCCCGGACGACCGATGGCTGGCGTTGCTGGCATGGTTGCCGAGCTTGTGAGACCGGGTGGGTGCATGCGTAAGGGATGGAGAGGCCCCGTCAGTGATTGAGGGATGGATCTCGGGCTGAAGTCGGGGCGAGACTGAGAGGAACGGCCATCCTGTGTGCTACTACACCTTCTGGGTGGTCTGGAGAATCTCGGAACCTCTAACAAGGCAGGACTGGAGAAAGGGGGAGGGGGCGGTCCCCGAGTTGGAGGAGGAGGGACAACAGTGGAGATCTCAGCGTCGTCATCTTGGTTGCTTGCTGGCTGAAGGACAATCTGAGGGACCAAGTGTTGATCCTGGAAGTCATGAGGATTGCCGTGCAATGGCAGGTTGGCGGTTGGGATAGGAAGTGCTCTCCGAGTCGGGGCGAAATAGGCCATGGAGATATCATTGTCGCTACCTTGGCTGCTGGCTAACTGGACGATCTGTGGGACTGAAGTCTGATGTTGGGAGGTTTGAGAACCCTCGGGCGATGAGCGGTTGATTAACGAGACGCTCGTGTTGCTGGTAGTCGCTCTTGAGGTCACAGCGGCGCCAGTTGTTTGGTCCGTAGAGTCGATTGAGTTGCTCATTGTGGCTTGAAGTATCGGCTTCGACTGTCGGGGAGGTAGTCGAGGAACTTGACAAAGGCGGCAGTATAGTTATCAGATGAGGGTTTTGCCGAAGAAGTGACAATTCCACCCAAGTGAAGCAGAGTTCGCTTCAGAGAAGTGATTTCAGATAAACAGCGAGAAAAAATTATCGCCGACGTGAGGCTTTCGTTCAAGTGAAGAAAAAATCGTTGAAGTGAAGAAGGAATTGCTGAACTGCGGAGAGTCTCGCTGAACGGCATGAAGGAGGATCCGTCGAACAAGTGAGGTACTAGTTCAAGTCAAGGAGAGTCGGTCAAAGAGAAGGGAATTGCTGAACAGCGGAGGATTTCCCTGAAGAGAAGATGGATTCGTTGAACTTGTCATCTATCGACAGAGATGGGACAAGATCCCAGGATGGAGGATGGAAAACGACTTGTTCCTACCGCATTGACAGAAATCTTTTCACATCAGGAAGGTGATGTTGTAGTGTAAGTGAAAGATCGTGCAGTACAGTGACTCAATATTGTCGGAGCGGTTGACTGTCGGAGTATGCGCTGATCGAAGAGATGAAGAGAGCGGGTAGGTTGTCCGGTGTTGCAGGTTCCGAGTCTGGTATGGAAACCATGGCCATCGAGAGCTTATTGGCGTGTTCCTGCGCGTGTGATTCAGAGCCTCGATGTGCTTGACGTGTTCCGGCCGGCCAATGGCGGAGGCCGGAGGGGCCGGGGCCGGCAGAGGTTGACCGGCCCCGCTTTTCCCGAACTGTGCCCGGGCAACGGCGACAGGTGGCCGGCAGGACTGGAAGGAGTGGGGCCAAGTGACTTCGGATAGTAGGGAATATGCCTCCCATGGTCGTTCTCCCTATTGCTTTCGCGGATCAGAATCTGAGCAGGCATTCTCACAGAATATATTCAACATTAACTGACTCATTTCACCACAAATCATAGCCCCCATTCATTTCTGAATGAGCAAGGGAAATCATCACCCGTAGGGTGTGGCATATGCATGGAGAAAACATGGTTGGCCTGCGAGCAAACATCACTGGTGACTCCTCCACATCTCCAGGTATCGTCTTGAAGCAAGCGCCGGGCAGCTGTGAGGGAGACGGAAACATTCAGAGAGGCAATCCGAAAATTGCGAAGATTGTGATCGGTTAGCAATGTATAATTCACGATGAGGAGCAAACATTAAGAAGAGACAAATTTAGGTTGTTTTTCCTAGCCATTGACTGCAAGCTCTAACTCGAGTACTGTGGTAGTGAGGTTTGGTTATCCCCATCGGCTAATCAACTATTCGTATCACCAGAAAGATGTTGCATTGTGCCCCGTTACGAGTGAAGTCACTAACTGCGCCATTCATGAATAATGGTTCTTTGACCTGCTTTAAAGGCTTGGGTGTCCTGGCAACTGAGAATCGTTCGTGTTTTGTTTTCAGGGGTCACTAAACCAGCCCCTGAATTGAGTTTTGACCTGCCCCTGAAGTCCTGAATTGATGGCCTTAGAATGCAGAAGGCGTTATCTTGGCGAGGAGCATCTTATGTTAACTATTGAAGAGAACACAGCTTTATACCAGTACCATTATGTCTTGGCTCTATCTGTCACTGAGAACTAATGACACATGCTTCAGGGTGCACTCTGTAAGTCGACGTGGTGATGCCAAGACTGTTTTCATTGAGAACAGGACCCTGATTGATTACCTCAGCAACGGCAACTCGCACCGCCAAGCCCTTTGAAATGTGCAGGTGGTGATTGGCGAATGCGAGAGCGACAATCGCCGCCCCATAAAGTTCCGAGGCCGAATGAGGCCAATTGTCAGTGTGTTTCGGTGTTCGGCTTCGCTTTCAATCTTCAAACCCCTCGGCCGCCCATTTCCGGAGGCGAATCTTCTTTTTCTGGAATTGGCTTTCTGGTTCGCCTGCTCTGGTCTCTGGGTTAGTCAACAAAGGTAACCTCGACTTTGACCAGACAAGCTCCGCAGTATTTGTGGTATTTCCCCGGTCTGGTTCTCATGCAACCTCCGAAAAGTACAGTCATTCATTCACACCTCCGCGGGATTTGCGACTCCGACTGTCTTATTAGGACAACCGACCTCTCGTCTCAACTGAAAGCCTCCCACCCCGCTTCTCTACAACACTCCCACGCTTTTGCCCGATCAGACCACCATGTCGTTCTCTAGCCTCGTTCAGGATCTGTCGCTGCGCGACGCCAGCGCACCGAGGAGACCGGGCGTGTCTCGCGGGGATGCCTCGGTGTCCACCATGGACGACCGCGCTTCCTGCCTCTCCCGGGCCAAGTCGTACGCGAGCACCGCTGCTACTAGCGTCAGCATCTCGGGCGACATTGGCAGCCAACTCCACGCCGGCTACAGCCACCCTCTCGCCAGGTCCTGGCAAGCCGAGCGCCAACTGACAAAGGTACGCAATCCCACACACGGCGCCGCGCGGTTCGGATCCATCTAACACGTGCGCAAGTCGATGCTCATCTATCCCCTCTTCATCTCGGACCAAGACGACGAGGAGGTTCTCATTCCCTCCCTCCCGAACCAATGCCGCCGCGGCATCAACCGACTCGTCCCCTTCCTCGAGCCGCTCGTCCACAAGGGGCTGCGATCCGTCATTCTCTTCGGCGTGCCTATGAGGCCGGGCACCAAGGACGCCCTGGGGACCGCGGCCGACGACCCGGAAGGCCCCGTCATCCGCAGCATCCGGCTCCTGCGCCAGCGCTTCCCGCACCTGTACATTGTCTGCGACGTCTGCCTCTGCGAGTACACGTCGCACGGCCACTGCGGCATCCTCCGCGACGACGGCAGCCTCAACAACCAGCTCTCGGTCGACCGCATCTCGGACGTGGCCGTCGCCTACGCCCGCGCCGGCGCCCACTGCGTCGCGCCCTCGGACATGAACGACGGCCGCATCCGCGCCATCAAGCTCAAGCTGATCGAGGAGGGCATCGTGCACAGCGTGACGCTCATGTCGTACGCCGCCAAGTTCTCGGGCTGCCTGTACGGGCCCTTCCGCGACGCCGCCGGCTCGACCCCTTCGTTTGGCGACCGCCGCTGCTACCAGCTGCCCCCCGGCGGCCGCGGCCTGGCCCGCCGCGCCATCGTCCGTGACATCGGCGAGGGCGCCGACATCATCATGGTTAAGCCCGCCGGCCAGTACCTCGACATCATCGCTGATGCCAAGGAGCTGGGCAGGGACCTGCCCGTCGCTGCGTACCAGGTCAGCGGCGAGTTTGCCATGATTCATGCCGCTGCCAAGGCTGGCGTCTTTGACCTCAAGGCCATGGCCTTTGAGAGTACCGAGGGCATTCTCAGAGCCGGTGCGACCATTATCGTCAGCTATTTTGTTCCCGAGTTCCTGGATTGGTTGTCGAATTGAGACGTGAGGAGTTGATGTTTGTTTATGGCGTTTGGGCGTTTCGGGACACCGGCGAAGGAGTCACGGTCAAAAATCCGGACGGTTATGTTGGGCGGTACAAGGTGTCTTTTTTTCCCACGTCATGGTATGTGTTATAGACTTTCCGCGCCCCGCGTCGGACAGAAGGCTGTCGGCATCGCGCAAGAGTCTAAGCCCGGCAGTTTGAATAGGTATTTACCTGCACTCCACTACATCTTCCGTCCCATCGAAGGCCACTATATCCCCCGTAATTGCGAGTTATCCCTGCCATCCATTGGGATATACCTGTCCCTCAGCACCTCCTCCGCACTCCGCTTCATGCGCTCCTCCCGCCGGGCACTGTCGTACCGCTCGGCCAGCGCTTTCTCCACAGCCGAAACGTGCAGCATCCTAGCATCCACCTTGCCCTCAGCCTTATCCTCAGCAAGGTGAACCATCGCCTTAGTCTTCTCGACCAAGCCATGGGCCTTCTCCATCCCCTTCGATACAGCCCCCCTGGCCTCCTCGACAGCCTCCGACACAACCCCCCTCGCCTCGTCCCTCATCGCCTGCGCAACCGAGACCGTCGTATCCCGCGCCTGCTGCAGCGTGTCGCCCACAGCTGCGCCGCCGCCATGAAATTCCGCCTCCGCCGCCGGCGCCCTACCAGTAGGCCAAGGATATACCGTCCCAAGCTTGCGCTCCTCCTCCTCCTTGGACAGCTCGATGCCCAGAACCCGCGCCACGCCCTCCTCGGCCTCCTCGCGCACCCGCGCCCAGTCCTTGGTCTGCGCCCACCGCACCGCCGACAGCACCTCGCTGTTCCACTTCGTCTTGGCCGTCTCGAGGAAGGATGATGATGACGATGACGACGCGCCGTCCGGCTGGAGGAGGCTCTCGCGCGGGCGGTAGGTGCCGTCTGGGAGGAGCACGGTGGTGTTGCGCCGGTTGCGCTGGCGGGAGGAAAGCGGGAGGGTTGGGTCCGTGCCGGCGGGGGGGAGGAGCGTGTCGAGGGTCGAGGCTTGCGCGCGGAGGAGGGCGGATTGGGATTGCCGGTTGTGGGTGTGTGTGAGCAGGGCTAGGTAGGTGAGGGAGAGGGTCAGGGTTATGCCGCCGGCCTGGGTTGAGAAGTATTGAGGTTAGGTTGGGTTAGGGTGTTGTGGTGATTTTGTGGAAGCGTGGACGTACGAAGCCGGCGAGGAAACCCATGGTTTCTTGTGGCAGTTGGGGATGCGGGATTTGAGATGGTGCGGCGCGCCAATTGGCGTTGAGAGTCGTCGTGAAACTCTCCTATCGCCCGCGACTGATTTCAGTGGCTACACACTTGTTGTCGAATCTGTTGTTTTGAATCG